CAGCCTACCCCCCCGACCCCCCCCAGCCTGTCCCCATGGCAGAGGGGCTCCAGCCCTCGGAGCATCCAATATGCTTCCAGCGAGGAAAGACGTGGAACTTGACAAGAATCCAGGCCAGATGCCCAGCTCTCTTCTGCCCCATCTCTCACGAGCTACGCGTAGAGACTCCTGCCCTGTATGATGTTCCCGCAATAGAGGATGGGTGAATGCCCTGCCTCTTTCCTCCCCAGCCCCCTCTATAAAAATTAAGCCAGTATTTGTTCTCTCTACCACTCTACTGAATTTACCCTTTCACTCTTGCCCCAAAGTGATATTCTATCAACTTTATTTTATTAGAACAGGACTCAACATCCGTGTACAATTTCACCAAAGTGACAGTGTAATGTGCTCTGTGCCACTACTCCGCAAGTCACGGAAGTGCACGGTCTCCACGAGCACACTGGGAGCCTTTGCCAGCCTCCTGACATGGCAGAGGTTTTCCAGGCTTGCGTTTGGAAAGGACACATTTTCACTATGTAGTAACCTGGACCATTTAGTAGCAGCATTCCATCTCGGAACCTGAGAGGGAACAGCTCTCCTCCCCTGCTGCGTCACACCGTCTGACTGGAGCACCCAGGTTGGCGGGACAGCTACGAACACAGGAGCCTCGAGAGGGAACAAGCGGTAGGATTCTGCGTTACGACTGACCCAGACAACACCCTCTTTATCTGCTGAACATGGTCTTAAAAAAGGCGACCAGAAAGTTCATTCCAAACAGAACTACAAGTGAGGCACCACATTTCAGTGCTTGAACAACTACCTTTTTGTTTTCCTTTGACAGGAACTTCTTAACAACAAAAACCCTTCAGAGCAAGGAAAAGTAATGGAGAATTACCCTACACCTCCCCCAACAGCATTTTACTTACTGACTTGGATACAGTAAGAGAGGAGCGTACATCACCAATTCCAGAAAGCCTCTGGCATCGGGAGAACGGTGCAGCCAGTTAAAGAGAAGCAGCCGGGGAAAGCTCCTCCTGAGCTCTCGCCCCCAAATGCAAACACACGGCTAAAGCCAAAGATCAGGACCCCGGCTCTCCATGGACAATTCCTTCTTGTACTGCTGCCACAGTGCTAACCCAGCCTTCCGACAGTGATGAGCTGCCTACCGAGGGACTCCAGACTCCCCTCGGCTCAGCTGCAGGGTCACTACACACAAACAAAAGCCGACACCTAAACGTGCCCAAGCTAAGAAACCCAACAGTCAGAATTCCAACGCGTTCGACAGAAGACGCGTACGGCAGCACACCTCTTCAGGGACAAACCAAGCAACAGCCCAGTGCTACACCCAGCATGAACTCAATCGCGCTCACCCCTGAATTTAAAGCAAGCGCTCGCTCCACAGGTGAACAAGCAAGTCTCTCTGGCAGTTCTTCCAGTCTCACAGTAAGGAATCACTTCAAATGACATGGTTAGACCAGTGGTAGCACAAGCCAACAGCTGGATCCAACACCGCTGTAACAGAATAGTCTGGGGACAAGTTTTAGAAGCAGACAGTACCTGCTCAGTAACAGGGCTATCGGAGCACCCGGGTCTCCTCTCCCCTGCTATCCCGGGAACTACAAGTGCTTCACAGACAAGCTCAGTTAGGTCATCCAAACCGTGTGACTGTTGAAAACCTCCAGGCAGAGGCTTATTTAAATGGCTCCACGTGGGTTTGTTTTCCTTCGACTGTAGAGATTTCACTCTGAAAATTGTGACTTGGTCGTAGTCTTGGCCACGATTCCTTGATTAAGTCAGCATTCTCCTTCGGGATGAAGGATCACCCACAAACTCCTGTCTGCCTTCCTGTCCTTCGTGGGGCTTTAAGCAGAGAGCATCCTCCCACGAGCTGAGGTCCTCAACATTAATTAAAGCCAACACTGGCGAGTTAGATTTGATTTAAACTGACACTGGCATGAAGACAATTCAAATTCATTGTTCCTAATGAGAAGAAACAGCTGACATTCTCAAGAATGGTTCCCGTGACTCTGACTGGTCACTCGGACACACGACACATTGTGAAACGTCCAACCGGTCAGCGGAGCAGAGGTTACAGTCACAGGAACCTGCCATGACTTGTGAAATCCATGGGGCTTTATTTCTAAACCAAGGTTTAGCAGTCTCCCTCACCAGCCTGCACTAGCAAAGAGGACGCCAGTGAGAACAGGAGGATAAAGAGCAATCGTTAAACACGACCATTTTTACCGCCAGAAGCAACGCGACGCTTGAGGCGACCACAGTAGTTCAGCCGAGACGGCAAATTTGGCACATCCCCTGGAACACAGAGCAAGGTCAGAAAGGCCAGAATTACAGCTGCCCTTGCGAGCAGCACGCACGTACAGCGTGGCCTTCTCTGCCAGCCGCTCACAGGTGGATTGTTCTGGGCCCAAGAATTACTCAAAGGCGAGAGAAAAGCCTCACAACTCGGGAAATTCCGTGGCTCCTTTGCAGACTACACTCTCAACTGAAGGAGACCGCCTACAGCACACCTACATTTCTGTAATTAAAGACTCTACTCTAAACCACAACAAAGAAGTTAAAACTTGACTCTACACTCACCTTCAGCACTTTACACCCGATTTTCCAGTGTCTTCAGACAAACTTTTCCTTAAGTAACTCTCCTTTGGGAGTAGGGTTTTTTTTTTTTGCTTCCCACTCCGCATCCTACAACTCACAAACA